CAGGGTTTAGGGTTCAGGGTAGATTCTTTCTATGGTGATGATTATGAGGGTGTTGTTGAATGCTTACCGTCATGGTTTTATTGCTATTCTGGTATGAAGATGACACATTTCGACCATGGTCAGTTTACGAACATAACGCTTAGCTTCGGGTCTCGGGGTTAGAGGGTTTAAGGTTTAGGGGGTTGGGGCTGAGGCGGCTTAAGCTCGATGGTACTTGGTTGCTTTGGGGAATCCTAAATCCAACGCCCTTTAACTCCTGGCAGCCGCATGGATGCGGAAAGCACCTGTGACATGATGCTGCGCATCCGCCCACGCAGCCCGTAGAGTCTAGGCTGGTTCTTTATGCCATCTGCTTCGTGGCTGGCGCGACCCAACCTATCCTGCTTGTGTATGTGGTGAAGCTTCTGTTCAAGACGATCGTGCGTCTCAGCTTGTTTACGGCTGGTGGTTCAGGATTTCGCGAGATCGTTGGCTCAACATTTCACAACTCTCCGGGCGGGTAGATCTTCTCGATCCAGGTTCTAACTTTGCAGCGTGCCCAGAATTGCGTGTGGTGGATTGCACGGGCGTTTCCTGGCATCGTGCCTGTTTGAGGCCTGCTCGCCCACCCTTCGGAGCCTCCGTCGCAACACGGAATTTCCTCCAAACGACCTAGTTCGAGGTTGCAAACTCGACGCGGAAGAAACTACTACTACTACTACTACTACTACTACTACCACTACTACGACGACGATTACTACTGCTACGACCAGTACTCGGACGAAGCATGTCCGAAGTCAACAAGATGAAGAGTCGCTCAACCCGCGGCCATGCCCCCAAAACGATGAAGCCTGAAGATGATTGCTTAGATGGTCATGGGCGGAGTTATGGGGTTCCTTTAAGGGTTCCTTTAAAGGGTTCTATAGGGTTTAGGGTTCAGGGTTTGCAGGTAGTTATAAGTGAAGTTATAAGTAGTTACCCTGCTTATAACCCCACTTATAACTGCCCATGACCCTCCAAGTGCAGTGTGGACAGGGAGGTGGTTGGCTGGGCAGCCTGCGCCATTACTGCCATGGTTGCGCTGATGCTGTCCACGGCGCCGAAGAGGACCCGGACATTATCTTGGCTTCTGGTTTGCATGGCCTTGGAATCCTTGGTACTTGGAGGTTCATGGGTAGTGATAAGTAGGCCAACTATAATTATCACACATATTAGGGGACGTATAACTCCACTTAGAACTGCCCATGAACCTCCAAGTAGAGCCGAGAAATGTTCCTGACGCCAAAGCCTTATTCCTAAACCCTAAACCCTAAACCCTAAACCCCTAAACCCCTAAACCCAAACCCCTAAACCCCTAAACCCCTGAACCCTAAACCCTAAACCCTAAACCCTAAACCCTAAACCCTTTTGACCAGTCTTCGATCTGCCATGTCTCTTGCATAGGCGTAGCCCGCTGGTGGATGCAGGAACAGGCAGCCGCTGGCAATCCTCAGCCTCAGAATTTCTTCTCTTGTAGGAAGGCTCGAGAATTTACTTTACTCACAACTCCCCAAGACCCTATTCTAGTTGTTAAGGCCCCTAAACCCTAAACCCTTGTAGTAGCCCTTATAGTAACCCGTATAGGAACCCTTTTAAGGGACTAAACTTGCAAGCCCCTCAGTCCTAAACCCTAAACCCTATAAGCTCTGGACTCCTAAACCGGATCTAGAGCCGGGTCCGGGCCTCCGAGCTTCGAAGACTTGAAGGAAGGGTTTTGCTGTGAGGTTTAGAGGAGATATAGTGAAGTGATGGTAAGGGTTTTTTGAAGGGTTGTGATGGGGTTTACGTGGGGATGTGGGTGAGGGCATTTCAGAGCGCTCCGCACGGATATCGGCGGGTGTATGAGTTCAGGTGTCATTCTGGGGATACGGGTAGTGCAAACGCTGCTTCGCTTTAAGGATCGTGGGAATGAGAAAGTCGCTTGCAAGTTGGGGTCTATGTACCACACATGGGATTTGCAGCCCCGTGAGCTTTTCAGTCGGATGCTGACTGGTAGTATCGGCGGGGATGTAGCAGCTAGGCTTTCTGCACAGTAACCCTTATTACTATCCCTAGGCCTTGTCGCAGACCCTGAATCCTAAACCCTAAACCCTAAACCCTAAACCCTAAACCCTAAACCCTAAACCCTAAACCCTAAATTAAGCCCCAAGCCCAAAGCCAAAACCCCAAAGCAATTCAGCGGCCGCTCGCTTCACATGTCGTGTTCAGGGCTCGTGAGGATCCTGGCTTAGGAGTTTAGGGTTTAGGGTTTAGGGTTTAGGGTCTAGGGTTTAGGGTTTAGGGTTTAGGGTTTAGGGTTTTAGGGTTTAGGGTTTAGGGTTTAGGCCTGTGACCCGATGCAAGGGCTTTCTGGCGTAGGGTGCGGGATGTTCAGTTTAATGCTTGTAGTCTCGAAAGCTAAGTCTGTGGAGCTTACGGTAGACGTCATCTACCAGTTCACTGTAGTATATTAGGAGGTTTCCTTGAGGTCCACCCCACCTTCAGGTCCCTCGTCCAATACGTGCTGTCTCGTAAGTGCAGGATCGGCACTAGTTTCTAGCAGCAGTTGCAAGGGCAATTGCTGGGATGGCGACTTTCGTGTAGAGTGGCTTCGAGGATGTTGCTTTATTGCGGGCACTTGCCCTGGTTTCGAGGCTGCACTTTCGGACAAGTTGTATTTCTACACACTGAGCCATAGCGAGCTTTGTGGCCGCACGCGCGGCTGCGTGGTGGGACTCTTGCGGTGCCCGTTTCGGCGTGTGGGGTGTATCGGCATTTTCGGGCCGGCACATGCCAACCAGCCTTCTGCTTCTCTTGCTACTTGGAGGTTCATGGGTAGTTTTAAGTGGGGTTATAAGTAGGGTAACTACAATTATAACCCATATTAAGGGACTTATAGCTCCACGTATAACTACCCATGAACCTCCAAGTAGTGAAGTTCGTAGCAAGTGTCAGCATAGAGCTAGGGACAGTTGGCTGCCTCGACTAGTCGGAGCACATCACTCACAATATGATGACCCCGGCAGAAACCAGGTTCCTAAACCCTAAACCCTAAACCCTAAACCTTGATCCTTGAACGAGCCTACACCCTCGAAGGACACCGATGAAGCCACCGATGAAGCTGGCCTACCCTTTGGCCACCCGGCACCGATATGTTATTTTGGGTTTAGGGTTTAGGGTTTAGGGTTCAGGGTTTAGGGTTTAGGTGTAATCTAGGGGCCTAACTAATTACCTCTACTACTTTTCGGGTTCCTTGTTGTAGTTATAGTATATTGGGCCCCAAAACCCTGTTCTGAGTATTAAGGCCCCTATACCCTAAACCCTTATAGTAACCCTCACTTACAGTAACCCTTTTTGTATCCCTTTTAAGGAACCCTTTAAAGGAACCCTATTCTAATTATTAAGGCCCCTACATTACACAACTTTGAATGTAGCGAAACCCCTAAACCCTAAACCCTAAACGTAAAGACACGGGAGCCTCGCCGAGTTCTGCCAGGAGCATCCCTCTGATGCCTACGTTGATAGACATACCCATATTAGGGATTCTATTATAATTTAAGGTATATTCCTTAATTAAGGGGTTTTGGAGTCTCTGGGTACTCTTGATGATATAAATCCTGCAATACATTACAGTAAGGACCCTAAGCTATAGGATTTATGGGGTATTCCTGCATTACCTTAAGGACCCTCAAGCATAGGAATTATGGTATATTCCATATTATGGGTATTGCAGGATTCATATCATCAACCGTACGTACGCGCAGATGCTTGCTTACATACATGTGCACACGAAGCATATGCACCTACATACACATACTTGTACATATATGCAAAAAGGGGAATGTGTGTGTGTGTGTAGATGTATATGTATATGAAAATGCATTTGTATATGTATAGCTGTATATGTATGTGTGCGTGTATATGTACATGTACATGTACATGTATGTATGTATGTATGTATGTATGTATGTATGTATGTATGTATGTATATATATATATATATATGTATACGTAGATGCATATGCATATGTATATGCATATGCATATGCATATGTATATGTACTTGCATATTTATGTTTATATTAGTATATGTATATGTGTGTTTGTGTGTGTGTGTACTGTGTGTCTCGTTACCCCGCCCAGAGCCGGATTCTGAAAGCCTGGGGATCCAGGCTCGAGGCGCCAAGGGGCCGGTTTGAGGGTTTAGGGTTTAGGGTTTGGGGTTTAGGGTTTAGGGTTTAGGGTTTAGGGTTTAGGGTTTAGGGTACCCGAAACCCTAAGCCCTAAACCAAGAGACCCTGAACAGACCCAAGGTGTAAGTTCCGCATTGAGAGGTGTTAAGTTTGCTGCAGCTAGTTAACGGTGTAGGGTTTAGGGTTCCATAGAAGTTTTGGATGCTTTTCGATTCAGAGGCGGCCGGCTTTGGGTGGTTTGCAGCCTTTTTCGTCAGCATCACGCCGCACATTTGGAGTGCCATCACGGTTCCATGTGGGCTGGCCTACGTCTACTTTGTGATTGCAGAGGAGGAGTCCGTTTCCTGGTGGTGGACCCGCCCCTGGGCCTGGATCTGAAGTAGAACAGGGCAGTCATGTAGGGGCCTAAATGACTACCTATACTATTTCGGGGGTTCCTTATTGTAATTCCTTATTGTAATTATAGTCTATCAAATACCTGAAGATCCCTATTCTAAGTATTAAGGCCCTTACATTAACGTCAGAGACAGCAGGAAAGGTGTCCCTTGTGAGTGAGCAGTTGCGGGTCTCTGACCAACAGGAGCAATTCCTTATGATTTAGAACCGAGTTTCTATGATTTGAGGAAGGAGTTCTCCAGGGTTTAGAGGCCATTATAATTATAGTATATAATATACCCCAAGACCCTATTCTAATTATTAAGGCCCCTGCATTAAAGTGAGGTGAAGATGCAGTCCGCATCCTGAGCTTCCTTGAGAAAGTGGCAGACTTTAATGTTTTGCGTGCCGCTGTCGGCAGCACTGCCACCGTCTTGATGGGTGGCTTCGCGCAGATGTGGATGGCTTCCAAGGCCTGATCCCCATGTAGACGGTCACCTCTCAATCTCGGCTGTGCGCCGAGAATTCTTTACTATTGAAATTTGAGCACTATCATCCGCTTCAAAAAATCCTGCTAACCAAGCAGTCCGGAAGTAAACATGCTTCTGGCCAGAAGCTGACTGCCAGTTCAGAGACTATGCAGCCATGTTTCGCTAAAGTCAGGAGCCGCAAGCCGTGCTAATGTGCGTTGCAGTCCTGTCCATAGCCACCAGGGGGTTTCCGAAAATTGGGGTACCTTATTTTGGGGTCCTTAGAATAAGGATCCTATTATTTAGGGTACTATATTAGGGTCCCCTATTTTCGGAAACTCCCAGGCTCGCCAAGCATCAGCTCAACCCTTGACCCTCACAGGTGCCCATCGCACGATCCCCCCACGTCTCTCGGAAGGTCTTGAATGTCTTGGGGGAGGTGCTGCGAGGCGGTGCAACGCGCGGGCTCTGCACCCTGAGTGCACTGTCAGGTGGGACGTTTGCGGGATCTGAGTGGCAGTCGGACTGATAGTGCTGATGCTTCTTTCCACCCACGAACACCATCGCAAGGTGCGAACATCGTGCGTCTGTCCTTGCAAGGTTTACCGAATCCCGGGAGCCAAGATTGCAAGACTTTGAATCCCGAAAGACCAAGAATTCACCCCTTCAGAGTCCCTCTGGAAGGAATGGTCGCAGCTTGCTTCCTGCACACGTGCCTTGGAAGCATTATTAATATTATCACCCTCATAACTACTACTGTTGTTGCTATTATTACTACTATTGCTGTTGTTTGTATCATTTTGTACCGTTCTTATGATTAGTGCTACCGTTTTTATTACTACAGGCTTTTTCCTACCATGATTAGCATTGTTAGCATGACTCTTGCTGTTTTCGGCGGAGTTTCGGATCCTCATGTTACCGCTTTGTGGGTGGAGGCGGGGTGCGACAGCGTGACGAAGGAACCCCTGTAAACTGTAGCCCATACAACAACCCTTCTACGAACTCTCAGAGCAACCCCTGAAAAAACCCTAAAGCCCTAAACCTTCAGACCTCCAAACCCTAAACCCTGAGCCTTTAAGGCACAAGCCGAGAAGTCTACCAAGTAAAAGAAAAGCCTTTCAGGGAACTTCTAAAGGAACACCGAGACGTGAGAGTCCCTAAGCCCTAAACCCTAAGCTTTACACCCTAAGCCCTAAACTTTAAACCCTAAGCCCTAAAGCCTAAACCCTAAACCCCAAACCCCTAAACCCTATAAACCCCCTAAACCCCAAACCGTGCCGAGGTGGTGGCTCAACGCCGCCAGCCTGGCCCAGGCCTTCGATCCCCCGACGGCCATCGCCCTGATCCTTGTCGGGGCCCGGGAGTGTTTGAGGATTTCAGGGTTTAGGGTTTCAGAGTTTTAGGGTTTTAGGGTTTAGGGTTTTAGGGTTTTAGGGTTTAAGGGTTTAGGGCTTAGGGTTTAGGGTTTAGGGTTCAGGGTTTAGGGTTCAGTTTTTCAGGGTTTCAGGGTTTCAGGGGGTCTAGGGCTTCCGTTAGAGTGTTATTTAGGATTTCAGGATTTCAACAGTTTAGGGTCTAGGGTTTAGGCTTTTAGGGTTCGAGGTTTCGTGTTGAGGGCTCGGGGATCTCACCGGAGTGGTTTCGGACTTCAGGGGTTTAGGGTTTAGGGTTTAGGGTTTAGGGTTTCTCTCTCGGAGCTTCGAAGCCGAAAGGCCACTGCATACCGGAGCTCAAGCTCAAGCTGCTCTTGGGGCGACCTTTTGGCTGTCGCGGTTTAGAGTTGTGGGTTTAGGGCTTAGGGTTTAGGTTTAGGGTTTAGGTTTAGGATTCAGGGTTTAGGGTTTAGGGGTTCAGGATCTTGAAGGCCGCAGCCCTTTCGACGCATGCGTTCTTGAAGGTCCCGTGTTGATTTTGCTAATGCTAGAAGCACCGCGACATGGTTTGCTTCTGCGAAGCCCGGCTGCAAGAACGCCAGCTGTTCATAGGCAAGGCTCCAATAATAGCAATTATAGTGATAATGGTGAAACTAAATACTGCCAGTACTACCACCACTGCCACTACTACTACTACTACTACTACTACTACTACTACGACTACTACTACTACTACTACTACTACTACACTAAGAATATAATTAGTAGTAGTACTAGTACCAGGACTAGTACTAGCACCAGGACTAGGACTAGTAATAGTGGTAGTAGCAATGGTAATATTAAATGCTACTAATATGCATAGTAATAACAATACATACCATAATAGTAAAATATTCGTAATGCTGCTAGCACGAGCAACAATAAGCCTGTCGGGGCAGTACTTCCGTCGTCTTTCTTTTCATTCTGTCAGACGTGAGATGCTATCGCGACCATGGCTGAAGTGAACTAATATTAATAATGAGAATAGGGTTTGGGGGTATAGTATACTATAATTATGATAAGGAACCCCCAAAACCCTATTCTAATTATTAAGGTCCCTACATTATTCCTCGGAACTTCCTGGAAGCCACGTGCTTTGATCCGTAACTTTCCTGGCCTAGGCCTTGGGCCACTGCCTGGTGAGCAAGCTCTTCGTGAACGGGACCGGGGGGGTTGGGGCAGGGGATTTTGGGGTTTCTGTCCCGAGGAGGTTGGGCTTCGGTATTCCGGCTGGTTGGGAACCCTCAAAATTAAACCCTAAACCTTAAACTTTAATCCCTAAACCCTAAACCCTAAACCCTGTGTGAAGAGCGGGGCACTCTCGATGAATCTGGGCCCGAACCCCAGCAAGCTGGGCTCCACGGGTGCAGCAGCTTGAGGTTGGCGTGCAAGACGGTTTAGGGTTTAGGGTTTACCTCAAGAACCCAAAACCTACTTTTTTGTCGGGTCCCTATAAATCCCATATTAGGGTTTATAATAAGAACCTACAAAAAAGTGGGTTTTGGGTTCTTAAGGTAGGGTTCATTCCTTGGGTTCATGGCCAGAAAGGACGAAGATGGGCAAGACCATCGTGACAGGGCACCTGCTAGCCATGACGGGCCTGTTTTACGACTCCTACAGCAAGGACTCTCGTGGATTCAGGGTCTGAAATGTATGTAGAGGGTTGGTAAAGGATGACTTTACTATCCTCGACGCATTGGTGGAGAATTGGGGATGATACCTTGTGAGCCCACCTCTTTCAGGATGTTCGTAGGAAGCCTCGGAAGCAGGCAGAGCTCTGTTGGCAGTATCCTCAACTTGACACCCCCAAGACCTACACACTAAAGCCTAATCAAATCGATGGGTTTTCTTTTCAACGGCGCACCTCAGGGACAGATGTCTGGTGCATCGCTCTTTGCTTCGGTTTGTTTCTTCGCCATCCTGGCGCCTTGGCCGGATCCGGCTTTTTCAGATGCAGCTGCTCCAACATAGCATAGAGGGGTCGGAATAATTAGTAGTAAGAATCTCTCTTCAAAGTCTCTACCTTATCGCAGATATAATCTACCCCGAAGCCTTAGTTTAGCTACTTTAGGTCCTTCTATTCTTCGGCTCAGCTTTCATCCAAACCCCACGGTCCGAACAGGGTCTTCCAAACCATATGAAAGGCAGTACGAACAAACAAACAATAATGAACACAATAAAACCAACAATAATAGTACTAGTAGCAGTACCGGCGATAGTAGTAATAAGTGGGATAGTAGTAGTAATAGCAATAGTCATAGTAATGGTGATAGTAATAGTATTCGTAATAGTAATGGCAATAGTTAAGCGTAATAGCAATCGTAGCAGCAATAGCATTAGTAACATCAATAGTAACACTAACAGTAAGTAATAACAATCGCAAGCAGTATCAGTAATGGTAAAGCTTATAGTAATATTTTTAGTAATAATACCAATAGTAGTCGTAGAATAGTATCAGTAGTAATCGTAAAGAACCGTGATAGTAATGATAGTAATAGTAATCATTACAGTGGTACTTATAACTGTGATAATAGGAATGATATGAATAAGAACAATAACACTTATTTTTATGATTTCAGCTACTGTTTCCCAGCTTCCTAGACAACTTCGTTTGTCGGGCCGATGGTTTCTGCAGGGCTTTACAAGTTATTGCTGGCATAGCCAAAAATCCTGGAGCTAAAGTAGCATGGAAAATAGACGTAGTACTATGTAAATCTATGCTTCGCTATGCACTACAACTAAATACGTAAACAAATAAGTAAATAAAAAGATACAGCTATAGACATAAATAGATAAAGAAATATCATCAAATAAGTAAATAATTAGATAAGTAATGATATATATATATATATAGGTAAACGAATACACAGATGAATATATATATATATATATATATATATATATTTATTTATATACATATGTATGTATATTATATTCAAACTAACATACACACACACGCATATATATATATATATAGGTATATATACATATATATATATATATATATGTATATACAAACTTACATATGTATGTATGTCTGTATGTATGTATGTATGTATGTCTGTATGTATGTATGTATGTATGTATGTATGTATGTATGTATCTGTGTGTATATATATATAACACCAATCTAAAATAGTAGCATCACTACCGGGCCCTCAACTGTCCGTGGGTCTACGCCCAGGCCGCGTGCAAGGCCATGGAGGAGCTTCGAGCACGGCTCCTTTGCTTCGAACGGAAATGTCCTGTTCCGCTTTCAGCTAAAGGTACAGAAGACAGCGGGCGCCACCGTAAACCCTGAAGCCCTGATCCTTTAAGAGACCCTGAAAGCCGGTTACCGGCCATGCATCACTGGCTTTTCTGAGCCCCGGCTAAGCTGAGAACCTGTCGGGGCCGAAGATAGGCTTGGTTTGATGTTGCGCTTGAGGGGTACTTGGGGGTTTAGCGGCTTAGTGGCTTTGGGTGTTTGGGCCCTAAACCCAGGCCCTGAACCCACGACCTTATGTACATGGGTAGTTCTCTAAATAAGGGTCCCGAAATAGGTCCCCATTATAGTACGGCACCCTTATAAACAGGACCGTAAAAGGGACCCTAATGTAAAGAACTACCCACATGGGAGTTTCAGAAAATTAGGGTACCTTATTTTGGGGGTCCTTATAATAGGGATCCTATTATTTACTGTGCTATATTAGGGTCCCCTATCTTCGGAAACCCCCACATGTGGCCACGGCTTGCTGCTGGAAGGCGGACTAATCCTTGTGCCATAAAGCTCTGAGTCCTCGACCCCAGGCCTTGAACCCGAAACTTTAAACCCAAAGCCCTAAACCCTAAACCCTAGGTCCCAAACCCTAAAACCCTAAAACCTAAACCCCTAAACCCTAAACCCTGAATCCTGAACCCTAAACCCCAAACCCTCAACCCTGAACCCCAAACTCTACACCGTGGGCCAGGTGGAAGCCAGACTTCTAGCCACGACAGCGCCCTGGCGAGCACATCCTAGGTTCGAAGCCCCTAAACCCTAAACCCTGAACCCTAAACCGTAAACCCCAAACCCTAAACCCTAAACCCTAAACCCTAAACCCTAAGCCCCAAGCCCCAAACCCTAAACCGCCTGAGCCAGGAAGCTGAGGGTTGGAAGCTTCCGAGCGGCCCTTCGGCCTGGGATTTCGGGTTTAGGGTTTGGGGTTTAGGGGCTGGGATTTAGGGTTTAGGGTTTAGGGTTCTGATTCTTGTTCATCATCTTCGTCTTGTTGTTGTTGTTGGTTATTGCTTAGTGATCATCGGTTGTTTGTTATCGTTGATTCGCCACTGTTGTCAGTTTGAGTGTTATTTCTGGTGTAACTGGAGCCACGGCTGATATCATTGAGCTGAGCGCTGCGAGAGAAATGCCCGGCAGCTTCCGCCAAGGAGACCCCTCGATCGGGCGATTTCAAGAGATCTGCGTCTCCCAGTGTGAGCTTTCATCGTATGCGTAGTTGATTGCAAAATCCGCAACGCCTGGAATGCCTCATCATTCTGGGCATGCAGGACGAAGGTTGCATTCCTCGTGGCAGCTGCGCCTTTGCAGGATGTACATAGCAATCGTGGCCCAATGATGGACTTGCATTTGGGAAGCCGCAGTTTGGCTCGGTTTAGGGTTTTACATTGATGTTCGTCAGCTTTCACCTGGGGCTTCGCATGCAAGACCATCTGTCAGATCTCCCAGCTGGGAACAAGAGAGTCCCAGAACACATGGGGAGTGTGCCGGAGTCGAGGGAACCTTTGGACAGGCCCGCAACGGGGGACCCCACTTTTCATAAGGCACGTCCCGCCAATGCACATAGGACCGAATTCATTCGCTTGGCTCGGGGGGAACAGCTTGAGACTGCTTCCACCAGCCTGAACCCAAACCCCTAAATCCTTCCCGGTTTGACCTCATGTGTTCCCCCCCCCCCCCTTTGGGCCAGCATGTTCTGCCTTGCCGGATGCATGCCACGATGCCGCTTTGCAGACGGGCATCCTGACTTGTGCTCCCGGCACTTTACATGTTCACGGTCCCTGCTTGCACAGGGTTTAGGGTTTAGGGTTGGGTTCAGGGTTCAGGAGTTTTTGGGAGTTGTGCCATCACATGCGAGAAGGGAGCGTGCACGGCTGGCCTCTTTACACGCAAGTCCCTTGTTACACCCTCTTCTGTTCAGTCGCTCGTACTGTCATCAGCTTAGCGCGTGGTGGCAGATTCTTCTGCACTTCTGGAGCTCATCGTGTTGCGGACAATTTGAATGGACAGGCAGAAAACCTCCAATTTAAAACCCCTAGCTGCCCAAGGCTTCTGAAAGTATGTGGGTGGTTGTCAAAATTATGGTCCCTTGTTGGGTCCTTCTTATAATACGGCACCTATTATTTAGGGTACCCCCAAAGGGACCATAATTTCGACAACTACCCAATGTGAGCTCCCCATAGTATGCAAAGTGCGTCTGAGCTCGAGACGACCGATCTGGCCAAAAGCTGTGGAGTCTATGGTTCTGGTGCGAGGTTTAGAGGGGGTTTAGGGTTTAGGGTTTAGGGTTTAGGGTTTAGGGTTTAGGGGTGTAGGGTTTAGGGTTTTGGGTTTTGGGTTTAGGGTTTAGGGTTTAGTGTCTAAGGTTTAGGGTTTGGGATTTGAGGGTTAGCCCCCAACACGTTCTCAACTGCGAAAGGTAGGGAAGGCCTTCTTCAAACAATGCTAGACGACCTTAATCCCTTAACCCGAAGCCCCAGACCCCGAATGTACTAAGGTCTAAGCCATAAGTTGAAGGCCAAACAATGACGCCCGGGTCCTCGCAGCGTAGCATTGCTGGAAACGTTGATGCTTTAGACCTCCCTAAACCCTAAACTCCCTAAGCCCTAAAGGCCCTAACAACAAAATCCTAAACCCTAAAGGCCTAAAAGCAAAACCCCAAGCCCTAAAGGCCCTACAACAAAATCCTAAACCCTAAAGGCCTAAAAGCAATACCCCCAAAACCCTAAAGCCTTAAGAACCAAATCCTTTAGGGCGGCCTAAAAGCAAAACCCAAAACCCTATAAAGCCTTAAAGCCCTAACCAGGCTAAGGTTCCGGGGCTTCGGGAGGGTAGTATAAGACCCGTGTGCAGCCTCTGCAGTAACTGTGTAGCAACCCTATAGGTTTAGGGTTTAGGGTTTAGGGTCTAGGGTCTAGGGTTTAGGGTTTAGCGTTTAGGGTTTGAACCCTTATAGGAACCCTCGCAACAACCCTTAAGGAACCTTTACAGGAACTCCGACAGGAACCGAGCCTTCTATTACCGGGCTAGAATCAGCCCTGCACTCGCCATGGAAACGCCCTCCTTGGTGCGATGCTTGCTGGCGCCGCCGTTGATGCGTGCGGCCCTCAGCAAGCGCCCAGTCCGGGAAGTAGGGGCTAGGGTTTATGTTTAAGGATCAGGGTTTAGGGCAGTAAGCTGAGAAACCCTAAACCCTAAACCCTAAACCCTAAACCCTAAACCCTAAACCCTAAACCCTAAACCCTAAACCCTAAACCCTCAACCCTAGACCTCAAACCCCAATGGCCCTCAGCCTCAGGCCCAAAAAGAACTGACAACTCGCCGTCCTTCTCTTTTCAGCCCCTCTAGCGGTTCATGGGATTGTGGGAGTGTACCTGAAAGGGGGTTTAGGGTTTAGGGTAGGGGGGTCAGACCTTGATCACGGATCCAGACTGAGAGGTTTTGGTTAGTATCATAAGCCCGTACAGTCCCATACCCTAAATCCGCAAAGCATAAACCCGAAAATAGACCCTGAACCCTAAACCCTAAACCCTCCTAAACCCTAAACCCTAAACCCTGAGCCCTAAACCCTAAACCCTCCTAAACCCTAAACCCCAAATCCCGAAAACCCCAAAGCACCAAAGTGTCGGAGCCCCTCAGCCCCAAGGCCCTGAAGACGAGAGAAGCCCTGCAGCTCCTGGCCCTAAAGAGCTGAGGTTTAGGGTTTAGGGTTTAGGGTTTAGGGTTTAGGGTTTAGGGTTTAGGGTAGATGACAAGGACTGGAAACCTTCCATGAAATCCGATGAAACGCTGTCAATTCCCCCCAAAACCCCGACACAACTCTTCAAAACCTCCAGACAACTCCTCAAAACCTCCAGAAAAAAAAACACTAAACCCTAAACCCTAAACCTTAAACCCTAAACCTTAAACCCTAAACCCTAACCATGGACGCCTCATCAGGGATCCTGGAAGCAGCGGCGGAGTCCGGCGCGGAGGCGGCACAGATCGGGCGCCTCTGCCGCCGGCTCAGACGTCCCAGCGAAGAAGGCCCTGAGGTATAGACCAAAATAGGGCCCAAAACCCCCTTAAACCCCTAAACCCTAAACCCTAAACTTTTGGGGCCATAGGGGCTCTGTGGAGGGTGTGGTTTCGGGTTTGTACGGTTTAGGGCTTCGGGTCCTCCGGGTTGATCTAGAAAAGCTGAGAAGGAAGCCAGAAAACTGGTGCTTAGTAGGGAATGGAGGAATGGGTTATAGGGACTACTAGAAGGGACCTTAAGGGACTATCATAGGGATCCATCCCCCCATTCCCTACTAAGCACCAGCCAGAAAAGGGCGCTGTCACCGGTCCTGAAGCTCGTGGCCATGAGCTCCAAGATTTCCAGACCTAAATCCTAAACCCTAAGCCCTAAGCCCTAAGCCCTAAGCCCTAAACCCTAAACCCCAAACCCCAAACCCTAAACCCTAAACCCTAAACCCTAAACCCTCCAGGCTAAAGCCTTCCCCCCTAAACCCGAAGCCCCACACCTTGAGCCCTGAACCCTAGACCCTAAACCCTAGAGGGTTTAGGGTTTAGGGTTTAGGGTTTAGAGTCCCTAAGCCCTAAAATAGAGGCCTACATAATTACCAATACTATGTTGGGGGCCCCTTCTTCTTCTTATTCTAGTATGGTATACCCCCCAAAACCCTATTCTAAGTATTCAGGTCCGTAAACCCTAAACCCTAAACCCCCAAAACCCTATTCTAAGCATTCAGGTCCCTAAGCCCTAAACCCTAAACCCCCAAAACCCTATTCTAAGTATTCAGGTCCCTAGACCCTAAACCCTAAACCCTAAACCCTAAACCCTATTCTAAGCGTTCAGGTCCCTACTTCAGAGTGGAGGATCTCCTGCACTCCACTTGGAGGTTCATGGGTAGTTATAAGTGGAGTTGTGGGGTTCCTTTAAGGGTCCTCTAAGGGTTTCTATAGGGTTTAGGGTTTAGGGTTCATGGGTAGTTATAGGTGGGATTATAAGTACGGTAACTATAATTATAACCCATATTAGGGGACTTATAACTCCACTTATAACTACCCCGGAACCCTAAACCCTAAACCCTATAGAACCCTTTAAAGGAACCCTTAAAGGAACCCCATAACTCCACTCGTAACTACCCCTGAGCCCTACACCTTAAACGCTATAGAACCCTTTAAAGGAACCCCCATAACTCCACTTATATCTACCCATGAACCCTAAACCCTAAACCCAAACCCTAAACTCTAAACCCTAAACCCCTAAACCCCTAAATCCTAAACCCTAAACCCATGAACCTCTAAGTATCGGAAACCCAAGTCCGACTCAAGCACAAGCCAAAAAGCTCTAAACCAAGTGTTGGGTGGCTCATCAGGTTGACAATGGGCCTAAACCCTAAACCCTAAACCCTAAACGGTAAACCCTAAACCCTAAACCCTAAACTGACAATCCAAGGGACACGACGTAAGGAGGAAGAAACTCGTCATCTTTGTCGTCCTAGAGTGTCCAATCTTACGGCTTAGGGCTTAGGGTGGGCTTTTCGGGGTTTTAGTGCCCCAATAACCCATCAAGGACTACGGTGCCCGTTTTCCTGCTTTTCAGTTTGGGTAAAAAGAGACCCACATAACCCTAAACCCTAAACCCTAAACCCATAGCAAAATGATACTATCGGAGATCCGAGCATCAACTTCAAGATGAAGCATCTTTCTTCCCGTGGGCTGCGACAAATACATACGAGCAAAGCAGCCCTTGCAAAAAGCGATGCACATAGCTCCAGCAAGAAGTACCAGGGTGGATGAAGGTGGTAACGGACGAGAAAGAAGATTCGAGTGACCACAACGAGGCTTGTCCCGAATACAAAGGCTGGAAGAGCTATCTCAGCATGGCCTGCTCCAGAAACGTCTACGCCAGCCCGCGCGACCTCCCTGAGAGTCTCAGAGGACATCCCGGCAGCCAGCAGCACGTGGATCGCATAATCCACGGCAGCAGTCTTATCCCCTATCTCCTCATGGATTCTTGCCGCATCTTCGGCCACGGAACAAGTTGCATGAATAACGCTGCCCTGGAATCCAGAGCCGAGCTGTGCTGCTTCCTGCTCTCGTGCTCTGCCATTCTCCCGATCGACCTCCAAGAATAGAAAGAGTGTCAGACCAATGATCCAGCAAATGCGCTGAACAATGCTTCCGTAGTCTTGAGCAACGCTGTCGTTGCAGATTGGGTGCCACTGCACGACCAGACAGCCACACATGAAGGCACCTGACCTGTTCAAGATCATGCGGCACTGGTATTGGTTCAGACTGATGCTGGCACACACGCATACAAAGGCGAGGCAAACAGGGACGGTGTTCATATCTGGCATATGGAAGCTGTTCATGTAGGCACCCACGGCCATACCCAAGAGTCCTGGCAAAGCTGGGGAAATATCATGGAATCTTGCGTTCTCTTTGGAACTAGACCGCCAACCGATTCGGGACTGTCGACATGAATGTTCGTGCCGATTCGCGCTGCAACTCCACTTGACTGAAAGCTGGTTTTGCAATGACAACCAAATCCAAAGGGTCCCATAAGTACCTATACTGTATTGAATCCCTATACCCTTCTAACCCTAAACCCTAAACCCTATATACCCTTGATACCCTTCTAACCCTCGGCCCTATGTACCCTAAAAACCCTAAACCCTATATACCCTTTAAACCCTAAACCCTGTATACCCTTTAAGCTCTAAACCCTGAACCCTATATACCCTTGAAACCCTAAACCCTATATACCCTTTAAACCCTAAACCCTAAACTCCATATACCCTTTTAGCCCTAAGCCCCATATACCCTTTAAACCCTACACCCCATATACCCTTTGGACCCCAATAAACCCCAGTACTGGAGATACTTACACACGTAGCTCCTCCTGCCAGAGAACCCCGTCTTGCACTATGTAAGGTTTAGGGTTTAGGGGTTTAGGATTTTAGGGTCTAGGGTTTAGGGGTTTAGGGTTTTAGGGTTTTAGGGTTTAGGGCTCCAGGGTTTTAGGGCTTTAGGATTTAGTGTGTGAAGCCTGCAATTAGCCTGTGCGCATAAAAATAACTGCACTTCAGGATCTGGTGATCATCTGGCTAAGTCTCAGGTGGCTTGAAAAAACATCCTCACAATCTTTGCATGTATTTGGTTCGTAAGTCCTTGAATTCACGCATTTAGGGCTTAGGGTTTGGGGTTTAGGCCCTTGAACACAATCCTAGCATTGCCGTCACCACCATGGTTCGGAAGAGCTGTCGTCCTCGGGGCGCTGTCGAAGAAAGCAGTTTTAACGGCTTAGAACCTGTGTATTTTCATAACTTAAAGCTGTCGACTTTTAGAACAGCGGTCCTAACCTCTAAACCGAATATATAACCACAACAGGGTGAGCAAAAAATCTTAAAAGACCCGAAGAGAGGGCCTACCCTAGACTCCTTGACCCTAAAAGAAGCAACAGAGAATGAAGGCTCATATCGACAGTTGTCGACGTGTCTTCCTGGGGTTTAGGGCGGGTTATAAGGTTTATGGGCGAGCATCTGTTCGATGCGCGTCCGATGACGATCGTCTTGCCCTCTTCATGGGCACGGTAGGCTTCGTACACACACCACAACCTGTGTCGCTCAGGGGGTGCGACAAGCAGACTGCTGGCTCCACCCAGCTTTCTCCCCCCCTCCAGGCCTGGTGTAGATGCTACAATGCCGGTTGGGTAACACAAGGACACAGGAGGAGGCCTGCAAAGCCAAGGCAAAAGGTGAGCTGCTTGGAGCTTGCAGAAGGGCCCCGATGTTCAGGTTCTGAGGGTTGGCCAACATGCAGCACCACGCATGCAGCGCGGTCGACGGCCAGGAGTGCAGAAGCTTCGAAATGAACTCGAAGATACCTTCCTGCCAGGCGTGGCTGATGAAGAGGTGACACTCCAACCCGTCCGGGTGCATCATCAATGCCCAGCTCACCTTGCCCACACGGTCTGTCACAGGCATGATATGTTGCGTGTTGACCGTGTAGACACTCGGCCCGAAGACCTTGTCGGAGGTCTCGAAATTGTCTTTGCCGTCATCTGGTGGCCGAATCTCGCCTTTCCGGATTGCTTCTTGCACCTCCTGACGCAAGTGTTTCAAATCCGCACGAGTGATGCACCAGCGATCCGGAGGAACGGACTCGTGCAACTCCACTGCCTCCGACAGCGTGTAAATTGTGGAACTTCTGGCGAGCGTGGATGAACTGCCTGAAACCATCGGCCAATGCTTCAGCTTGAAGCGATTTCTCGTATGGTCAGACCCAAAGGGTCTTAAGTACCTATATGGGTAGTTGTCAAAATTATGGTCCCTTTTTGGGTCCTTATTATAATACGGCACCTATTATTTAGGGTACCCCGAAAGGGACCATAATTTTGACAACTACCCATATAGTAGACTGCAAGGTTTCGAATCGCTAAGTTAGGAATTACGATTATGATTTAGGGACGTGTCCCCCATAACAATACTTAGGACCCTTTGGGGACAGGTACTGTCCTCACGGGGGTCTTTGCCCCGACTGTTCGTGCCAAAGTGGTGCCTGAACCCACGGCCGATCCCGGAGGCATCATGAAGCCAATGACCACTATGACCTGAAACCTCTAAGATAGAGCCCTTTATAATTAGAAGCAGGTTTTGGGGTATAT